TATATATATATATATATATATATAAGCATATCTTGACTTCAACATAGTGCTTCTAGAGGAAAAATTGCAGTAAGGCTGAGGACTGCAGAAAAGCCTCAAAACACCATTATCCAGTTAAACGCCAGTGATTCGTTATGTCCCAGATATTTTAACAAATACTAAGAGCAGCTAAAATAATTGAACTGAAGCAAAAGCTTTTTCTTCTGCTTTTGCAACCTTATTTTGACACTTTTACAACCTGTTCAGCTACCAAATTGGAAGAGAAAAAAATTTCCTCATTTTTTATTAATTTGTACAATTCTTTCTTTCTTCTTCAATTCTCTTTTTTGAAGGCATTCATGTTTCGTCCACTTCCAGTTCAACTTAATCTCTACCTCTCTCCGTATTGAAAGATAAAATTTTTTGTCGTCTTCATCACACGTCATTTTACCAATTGTTGTTCAGAATTTTTAGCCAAAGATTCTTTTTTGATGAATGTGAGACGAAATTGAGAATAAAATTATTGCTGCTTTGTTCTGGCTTTTCAACTTTTACAATATGCCCTAAACCATAAATCGGAGATTTTACAGTTTAACTTCCTGATAAACAGTAGGAACTTTATAAGCATATCAAGGTAAAATATTTACTGGCATAATTTAGTAGTAGAGGTCGCTACGTGAATATGGCTGAACTGCTTTTACTTACTAAAAGCTTATCTGATATATTTGTTTGTTATTCGTAAGTGTTTTAGAAATCCATGAATTACTCTGCTAAGAACAATCCAGAGTTCACCAAGTTTTGTAACCATGAATCTATCTGAGCTTTACTTGGGTATCAAAATGGCGAATAAGCCTACGTCATTGGATCGCTGCTTTTTGTGTTATTTGCCGTTCCTGTTCATTCTCTTGTCCTTTGCAAGCAATTCTTCTGCTTTTACTACTGCAGACTTGCTGACGGTAAAAGAATTAAAACTTCAATTGAACGACTGTTTTTTACCCGTATAACATCATATTTTATTAATAGACTATTTATTTATTTAATTTGTTTTTTTTCTTTATTACAAAGAGTAAAGCATTAGCTTTTAATCTAAGACAAGAAAGAAAATCAGATAGCTTTCAACAATTACAAAAAAAAAGAGCAAAATGACAGTCAACGAAAATTTATATTAGCCATAAAGTTATTTTAGATTAATCTTTCGTTTTTCGGCTAGTTCCCAACTTTTTAAATTTGTTAGTTCAGCAGCAATAAAAGTGATGGTTTCGCAGTTGGAATAACTGCAAAAGGTTTGGTCAAACTGATCGATCATACACATTTTGTCATCTATTTGGTGGTTGTCCGTGCGAATGACCCATGTAGCAGAGTCTCAAAAAGTTGCGAATAAAGTGATCAACATAAAATTGAATATAAAAAAAACGTTTTAGAAAACACTTAGAAACAAAAATAGGAGTGGCAGTAAGTTGCGTTTGTGATGTAAAATGTCACCAAAACGTACAGATAGTGTCATTTTTTCCAACCATCAACGTGACAGTTTTACAAAGATACAGTTATAGTAAAAAATATATTTTTACAAGTATCTTCTAACCAGAATAAAAAAATTTATATAATTATTTATGTAATAAACCGTTATCCTGTCTGGTCTATTCAATCTTCCCAATATTCACCACCATTTCTCTTGGCTTTCAATACCGCGCTAAATGTTACGCTCAATGTAGATCAGTTTACAGTTCTAGTAGATAGTTAAGCTGACAACTTTTATGTGAGACTGTTTATTCTCTTCTTTTTTTTCAATTTTTGTTTGTCGCAACAAAATAAGTTATTTTATTTCTTACCAGCTTAAAATTTATTAATTTTTAGTATATATATGTATTCAAGAAAAAAAAAGTAGGAAAAGCAGGAAAAAACATTTCAAAGATCCATTTTATGATGTGATCCATCTTCAGTTTTATTGTGACTCTACAGCGCTTCTCTCCCTAACAAAAGCAGAATATAAATATAGGAGGAAAAAGATAACTGGTTTGAAGACAAGTTGACCAAGTGAAAAAAAAAAAGTGAAAAAACTGAAAAAAGAAATTTTCTTCTTTTTTGAATGATAATACTGCGTAATGTTTTTGTCAGTTTGAGTCACAACAATCAAACATCGTTTCCGTTTCTTCTTCTTCTTTTTTTTCTTCTATTCTTAGTAGTTATTCTCTATCACTTGGTTGCTTCCTTAATTGAGATTTAAAAAATAAGTATTTCTCTTTTTCTACACTGCTGTGATTGAGTGAGAAATTGCGACATGCGTATTCTAAATTTGTTTGACATCGTCAATTGGGCTTTTGTTAAAATAACCGTTTTGGTACTAAAAAAAACCCAGGAAGTAAGTTGTAAAGTAACAAGAAAAGACGAAATACAGAAACTTTATTCTATTTATTTATTTATTTATTTATTTTGAGATTTTAGACTTTGTCATGGTCTTTGGTAGGGTACTAGGAATAATTTAGCGAGGCCATTTAACAGTAAATGGTTTGGCAAACCTATTTTTTTTCTTGTGCAATATTGACCATGGTGGAGTTCTTCCGGAATAGTACAGCTCTCCTCAAAAACTTCTGATCAACATGTCTGCTCAATAATTTTGGTTACAAACAACGTAACATTTCCCACTGTCGCTTTCGTCCAGTTCATCGTTTTACGGCTTTTCTACTTGAACTGTTCTTGGGCAAAAAACATCCTCTAATTTGCTCGTTAAAGACTATTACTGTGCCACATTAGCTAAATAACAGATTTTATTCGAAAAAAAAATTTTTTTTCTGTGAATTTCGGAAACTTGTTTTGATCTTTCAAAGACTCGCTTGCTTAAAACTTATAGTTCTTAGTACCCAGAAATCAGTTATTAGTTAAATAATAATGTGAATCTGAAACACTAAGCTGTCAGCTATGCAATTTTTCGGTAAATTTATTTATGACAAATAAAATAACGCTATTTTAAAATGTTTGCTGTAGGAGATTTTAAAATTATTTGTT